GGGAAAAAGGTTCGTGTGAGTGTGCACATACGTGTGTGTGTGTGTGTGTGTGTTTACTGTGGCTTGAATCTAGGACCTTTGCACTGAGCTACAAGCCCAGCCTTTTAGACAATTTTTTTTTGAGACAGGCTCTTACTAAGTCTCTTAAGTTGCATGGCCTGAGCTCAAACTTGCAATCTTGTTGCCTCATCCTCCGAGAGTGCTGCTATTGTAGGATGCACCATCATGCCCGATTTAAGGGGAAACATTTTAAATACATAAATAACCTTACCCATCAAGAAACATCTTCTTATTAATACTTTGGCCTATAGTTTCCACATCCTTTTCTATCCATAGAAGTGTGTTCAACAAAAAATAGGATTTTACCATATGACCACATCCATAGGTCTCTAATTTGATACATATCAGTTTACCTCATTCTTTTGAAGCTTGCCTAGCACTAGATTTTAATGCTGTGCTAGGATGTACCAGACAGGACCCTCCTGGTGGTGTTCAGGTCACTTTTCACTTCTCGCTCTGATAGATGTACTAGGGGAATGCATCTGGTAGTAGTATGTGATGGGGCTGAAGGTCTCTGTATCTCCAACTGTTCCAGCCTTTTCAAGTGTCATGTCCTCAGGAATGGGGACCTGGCAAAGCACAATGACCATTTTCTACGCCTTGGAAAAAGTGGTTTCCTTTTAGGAAAGTTCTTTTCTGGAAAACATGTTATTCCAAGGCCTGCTGATTCCAGAATCCAGTCTGTCCCAGAGAGAAATACTACCCTGGTTTCAGAACCAGGGAATGTGGAGAAAGAGCATGGTGGAGCTGCCTCTTCCCCAGCCCTGGGTTTGAAGGGAGCTGAGTTTCAAAGATCTTCTCTCTCACATATCCAAGGCAAGACCAGATTCTCATCTCCACGGAACAACCAGAAAACTGAGGTGCAGCAAGTCAGGGCTAGAAGCAGGGGGAGGACCAGTCCACTCCACTGTGCCCAGTAGGGCTGGGATGGAATTGAGTGGGTCTCCCTGGTCTTTGCCTAAGGGTGAGGTGAGAGGGAAGCCCCAGGGGTTAAGGGAAGCAAGATCTGTGGCAAGGGAGGCACAGGCTGACCTCTGAAAGTGCATAGCCTTAGGGTACACACTCTGGATGGGGGTCTGTTGGTCCTTGGCAGAACATTCCTCTTTGCAGGAGGCTTCTTGGGCTGCCTGTGGGAACTGCAGATGCCAAAAACCCCTTCTTCAAAGTCAGAGACCTAAGAGGGTTAGGTGTCAGCAGGAGTTTTGCTCGGGTGACCCTAGGGCAATCAGAGCCCCGACTTCCCTTCCCCCTACAGATGTGAAATGGGTTCTGCTGAGAGTTTGCTGGGCTCAGACACCACATGCGGAGGAGATCGCCAGCTCAGCTTTGCTCCAGCAGATTCCACATTGCCCCAAAAGGGCTCCCTGTGAGATGGTTCAGTTCCCTCGCCTGTAAATAGATTGTGGGGTTGCTGTGAGCACTGAGAGGATAATCTGCAGAGAAAGCATAGTGCCTGCCACATCCTAAGAGTCCAGTGGACACTAGCAATACTGGGAGAACAAATGGAGAGAAGGTTAGATTTGGAAACAGGAAAATCTGGGTTCAAGAGCTGCTCTGCCCCAGATTTCCAGGGTGATCTTGAGCAACTGCTTCCCTCACTGCTGCCAGGTAAACACTCCTGGCCTTGCCAGTATTTTGGTGCCAGCCTGTCTTGTCCTTGCCCTGCCACCTCCCTCCTTTGGAATTAGGGAAGAGAGTCCTCTCTTTTGCAGAGAGGACTTCCTGCTGGCCTGGGGAGAAAGGGACACCACAAACTCATACACCACACGTACACAACACACATGTCACACAACAAACACAATCTACACACTACTGCACATACACAGACATATCACACACAACACACATACACAGCACACACATCTTACACTCACACCATGCTACATACACAGACACATCATATACACCACACACAATGCACACATACACAACAAACACACACACCACACACACCCATATACCACACATACACAACACATATATCACATCATACACACCACCTCACACAAACACATATCACACACTACACATACACAACATAGAGTCATACAGTAGACACCACACACCATACACACTCATACTAACACACATACACCATATACACAACACACACTCACCATCCCATGTACACAGACATATGCCACAACACATACTCATACCATTCTACATATACAGAAACATCACACACCATACACACAATATACACTCATATACCACACATACACAACACACACCTCACACTCACCGCACACACATCACACACCACACACAATCATATACCACACTTACCACAGTCCACACACACCACACATGCAACACACACTCATATGCCACACACACCACTTCACATACACAGAAACATCACACATACCACATACACCACACGATAAATATTACGCACACTGCACCCCACATACATCCCATATACATACCCTTACATGCCTGTGCACTTCACTACACTTACTGAGGTCATTGCCAACCCCCATGTTGCCAAAGTCCAGGGACCTGGGCTGAGGATGTAGCTCAGTGGCACCGCACCTGCCTGGCAAGCAAAAGGTCCTGAGTTCGATCCCGGTACAAAAAAAACCCAAAACAGTCCAGGGGCCTCTTCAGCATGTTCACCTTCACCAGCCCTTGTGCACTCGGCCGCTTGACTCAGCCTCTTAGAACCACTTTCTCCCCTGGAGTTGCCAGATAAGATGCAGGATGCCTAGTGAGACTTCAATTTCATGTGGACTATGAATAATGTTTCAGTATACATCCCAAATATCACATGGGTATATTTGTACTAAAAATTATTCATTATCTGACTGAGATTCTGATTTCACTGGATGTCCTATATTTTTACTTGCTAAATCTGGCACCCTTCTCCCCAGTTCTCTGTCCCACATGCTTCCTGTTCCTTTTCTAGCTGCTCCTCTTTAGCCCTCCCTTGTCAGCTGCCCCACAGTGTTGATCTTGACCGTCTTCTCCTCTCAAACCCCCAGCTCTCCTAGGATGGCTCCTCTTGCCCCTTCAGCCCATCTCTACATGGGCCTGTCCTCCAAAGGGTCCTCCAAGGACCTCATCTTCAGCTCCTGTTGCAGGACCCGCCCTGCCCTGCAGCAGTGGCATATGTCACGGAAATGCTCTTGTGTGTTCCTGTACACTACTCCTTCCCAGACCAACAAGTAAGGCCACTTCTGTGTAGCTTGCATAGCCCATTATCCAGAAATGTGCTGGCTAAAGGCAGCAAATAGTGCTTCCTATACTGGCTGTTATCCAGCCTCATCATGTGCTGGCCTGGCTGAGCTGGTGATTCTCTGCCCTCTCCTGTTCTCTGAACCAGCTTACTTGTTGAATTCAACTTATTTGTTGAATTCCTTTCTCTCCAGTCCAGTTCATGGGGCTCCTCCTCTGAGGCTTTCCTGGGTCTCTCAGATCTCCTTCCCCTAAATACTAACAGTATGTTATCTGCTGCCTTATCCAGGAGTGTACTGAGTGCTGGGACCATACCTGTCTTAGCCACCTTCTCTTTGCTGGGACACAATACCTGACACCCACTCTTAAAGGAGGAGAGATTTATTTTGGCTCATGGTTACAGGCTGTGGTCAGCAGACTCCAAGGCAGAACAGCACAGCAGAAGGGCCTGGGAGGAGGCTGCTCATCTCCTGGAGCCAGGAAGCAGAGAGAGAAGGGAGGAACCAGGGAGGGAGATAGTCCCTTCCAGGTTATACAAGTGACGACCTCCTAACAGCAAGTCATTTATACAGACTCCCTTGATTCAATCACCTATGCATGAGTGAGTCCTTCAGGGGATATTTTTCCATCCAAACCATAACAATCTGTTGACTCCCACCTCCTCTAGGCAGGGACTGGCACATAGTCCTCAGTCAGTGTTCACTGAATGGAGGAGTAAATGATTGAATGATTAAATGAATGAAGAAATCCAGGAGTAAGTGAGGAAGTAAGATTCAGTAAGCTGTTTGAGTGGATTGATATTGGTCAGGATTTTGGGACTTGACTCCAGCCAAAGGGTGCCTGACCTGGAGAAGAGCTAACTGCTTGTGAGGATGGGAGGCTGAAACCCACTCTTCTCCCCTCTGAAACCTTGCACAGCCATCTCTCCTCACTGAGGGCTCCTGAGCCTGGGAATTTCCTTGTGTCTGGACCCGCCTCTGGCCAGTCCAGGCACCTCTGGGAAGAGGACCCTGACAAGGTCCTTTGGAAGTGCACTGCCCAGATCCCTTTTCAAGGAAGGATGTCAGGGCCCCTTAAGTGGCAGAGATCTGTCTTGCCTGAGGCCAAACGCTTTCGGGGGAGGCAGCCCTCTGAGTAAAGGACAGGGTGTTAAGGGCCTGCCTCATAGTTGAACTTCTTCCGCTACCCAGTCCTGTTTCCATCTCCTTCCCCACACAGGTACTCCTGCCTAATAGCCATCTCGCTCCCAGACATTGTCTCTGCACTCACTTATGGAGAACACACCTGCAACAATTTATTCACCGAGTCTCCAGGGTTCCCTGCAGCCAGCTCCTTTCCATGTGGATCTATGAAGGCCCTGCATGGGAGCTGTCGTGTCCAGAGTCACTTGGACGTGGTCCCAGGAGCTCCTTTCCCCAGGCTGAGCCCTCTCCTCCTCCCCAGGGTCACCCCACCCCATCCCTCTCCATCAGCCTGACTCCCTCCCAGCTCCTTCCCTCTGCCCGTAACACTTCTCCAGCCTCAAGCCCCTCTCTCTGATCCTTCCTTGTGCTACCCAACAAGGGCAGTCTGTCTGGACATTCTTACAGACCAAAGCCCACCTCAGGCTCAGTCCTGCCCCCTCAACAGGCAGGCCCTGGGAGAAGCACCCACTTACAGGTAGATGCAGATATATGAGCCAGAAGGCTCAAAATTTTGTACTTTCAAACTATACTCTTCAAATATGCCACAGCTTATTCCATGTACACAGAAAGAACAGATTTTCTAGTAATAAAAAACAGTTTATTTATTTGTGATGAAAACAAAAGCTTTGTTACATGCTGTGAATATAACATGACATTTTAACCTTTTTGGAATTAGCTTCAGTTCATGATTTTTCTCTCATTCCTAAGTGACCCAATTCACTCTCATTCTCTTAGAAATGACCTGTTAGACTACAGGAGTAAAATCTCATTCAAAATATGTTTAAAAGTCTTCTTTCTGGCTTTCCTGTTAATAAAATATCTTGTACTTTCTGTAACTTTTTTTTTTTCTTGTTTCCTCTTGTAGTTTTCCAAACCAGATTTGGAAAGATCCATAAAAGGATATACATCCTCAGTTAGAAAATAAATCACTTGTTTCCAGGAAGCAGCTCTTTTGCTTCAAAATTTCAGAGCTGATTTCAGCCAACTGGTGGAGGGGGGAGGCCTTAGGGTTGGGCCCTGTGCAGTATGCAAAAAATACTTTTAGGGAAGCTGGAGTCCATAAGAAGTGGTTTCTAAAAATGTTCACTTGAAAACACTGCTTCCTCGGCGGCAGTAGAACCACTGTGTTGACAACAAATTCCAGTGATATTTCTGCGGAGCTGGCCCTCCAAGCAATCCCATATGGTGTCTGTTCTCGCCTCCTCAGACCCCTCCTGAGCCCATCTGGTGGGCAGAGCCTAGCCAAGTTCTCCGGGACTGAAGCTGATTCCCACTTGCTCCCAACACCTCAGATCCCCCAGGCCTGAGGGCACAGCAACTCAGGAAGGGAGGAGACCCAAAGTTCATGAGGTACAGGAGGATAGGGAGGCAGGCCTGGGAGGATGGGAACCCCAGGGAAGGCTTGATGAGGGGGATGGTGGGTCTGATCCATGGAGAAAGAAATCCTGAAGGACTGTTAGGGCTCACATGATGGTCCAGAAGTCCTGGGCACTCGGCACTTGCTGGGCTTGACTATCAGGCCTGGTGAAGAGAGAAGACTCTTGGCGAAATGTGGCCACCGTAAAGCTGTGGCCAGGGCCTCCCTGAGGATCCTGGGTCTTCGAGTCATAGCTGAAGCAGCAGAGAATACAAGCGATGGCCACGGTGACTACGAGGAGTACTGCCACCACCCCAATCACCATTATTTCCATGTCCTGCGCGTAGTACCAGTTGCACAATTAACAACGTGGGTGATCTAGAGCCTTAGCTCTCCATCTGAAACAGGGGTGCTCTTGGTGATCACAGGTGCCCTGAGTTCCACAGGCCACTCTTCTTGGTCTTCTAAGGCTGAGGTCCTGGGTGGCACCGCCCCAAACCATTGAGTGCCCCCATGAGGCCCTTCGGCTGGGATCTCAGACGACCTCTATTTTCTAAATCTCTTCAGGCCTCCAAGGGCCATGGTCAACCCCACTGACAAGCACCGCCCAGGAAGATGTGAGCACATGACTCCTGGGACTTGGAAAGAGGTGAGGAGGAGGGGGCAGAAAGCATTATTCAGAGGGAGCCAGGCAGCCCTGACCCTCTGGCAACACCTACAGATATCAGGAGCAACTGTACACTCATGCTCCCCCTCCAGTGGATGCAGGAGGAGTTGGCTCCTCCCCTGAGGGACCTTGGGCAAGAGTCGGCTTTGGGCAAGGTGGGGGCAGGGGCATCCACAGGTTAGCACAGAAGCCAGGATGCCTTTGCAGGGCCTGTGGGGAGGAGGATATGCTGCATTTGCCTTCTTTTTCTGAGTGAGTTTGGGAGAGTGCAGTTTAGATGGGAGGGTTTGCTCTGAAAGCCGGAGAATCTCAGCCCTTTGGTGATACACCGGGAGCTCCCTCACACTCAGTTCCAGAAGAAATCCTCTTCCGTGCGGGCCCAGGCCAGCTGCTAACTCAAGTGCTGTGAAGACTTACCCTGGACCCCGTGAGGGCCAGCGCCGGCAGTGATGCTGTGGCCTCATTGCCTGTGGCCATCCTGGGGTCCATGACGCTTCTCCCTACATGCTGCAGTGTTGGCCCTGTGTGGAACTTGGCTCCAGGATGTCTGAGCAGCTGTGAGTACTTCCTGAATCCTTTCCTCCAATTGTGAGTGAACCACAGCTGCCACCCTCCCCACTCAGTGACAGCACTTACCCTGCCCCCGACACACACACTGACCCCTAATGGAAGGCCCAGAGAAACAAACCAGGCCAAGGCCACTGTGTAAGTGTAAGTCAGTCAGAAGGGACTCTATCCTGGCCCCTCACACCCAACACTCCCTGAGACCCCAACCACTTCCAGAAAGGAATCTGGGTCATCAGACCTCCTTTACCCATACTCGGAGAAATGAAGTAGAGAGATAATAATTCCAGCTACTGGACATAGCCAAGCACCATCTCATGGTCTCTTCCTAGCAGCCCTATCCAGCGATATTGCCTCCATTCTATAGATAGAGATGCTGATAGTCTCAGAGCTGGAATGCCCTGCCTGCAGTAGGTTGCTAGTTCATGGTGGTAACTACAGAGAAGTTGGGGCTTCCTCCCCTTCACTCCTAGCTCAGTGTTCTTTCTAGGTACCACACAACCTCAGAACCATCACCTGATTGTGCAGTTTTACTAGAGGGGGGCAAGGCACAGAGAGAGTGGAAGGCTGATTCAAGGTCACACAGCCTGGAACCTTTCCAATTTCTCCAAAGACCAACTAACTTTAGTACCAGTATTAGGAAACTTCCTATGCAGAGTGAGTGAGCAACATGCTGTGATATTCTCACTGTCTTTTTTCTAAGATTATTGGACAATCTGGGCTCTAGGCTGCTCCTCCACATGGGCACAGGAAGCCAGACTTCTCAGATTATTTGTGCTAACGGGGGCACCCAGAAGCAGAAAGAAGGGAACATGATGCACCGATCCACGGTGCTGTAGTTTCCCATTAAATCCCAACATTCTCTTATTAATCTGGGTGATAGAAGCATAAGGGGCTGCATTCCAAGTTTGATTGATCTTTGACTTCTTATTTGCTCATTCGTTGTGGGTACACATAGGTGTAGTTCACCTGCAGTAGCTGAGAATAGTTCAGCACTTTTAATCTGTTATAAAGGACAATTGCTCAGCCATACTCAATGTGGATTTCCTCTTCTGTCTCTGTCTCTGAGACTTGGGGGAGAGCTCTTCTCTTTTCATGATTTCTCTGTAAAATCTGTGTAAAGATGCTGAGAGAAGGAGCAGGAGCTGGAGAGGGCAGACCAGGAGAAGGCTGTGTGTTGGGGCAACCAGGCTGAGGACTGAGGTCTGCGCTGGGACAGAGCATGGGGGTGGGTACAGAAGGGGAGGTGAATTTGAAGGACACTGCAGAAAAAACGTCAACAGTCCCTGGAACCTATGGTCCACTTTCCCAGGGCTGTCATTGTGACTTTGCCTCCTTCCCCCTCACTCTGTCACTCCTCCCCCAGCCCTCACAGAGAATCCACTGGGAAACAGAAAGGAAAGAAGACATTCTATTCCGGTGAGTCACCAGGCCCCTGACTTTCTGGCCTGCTTTCCAGCCCCTCCCCCTTGCCTCATCAGCTCCCCATCCTGGGGTCATTGCTGGCCTCTGCTTCCTCCTCAGCTCCCAGGCACAGGCTGAAGGCCTCAGGAGACTTCCTGCCTCTCTGTGCATTGCACCAGGAGTTCATAGAGCATATGGCAGCATGATCCCAGCTTTGACAGGAGAGTATCGCTGTTATTTATCTCATTTTAGGCAAGAGGAAACTGAGGCCCAGAGAATGCAAGCACTGTCCCAAACCCCCTAAGATGCACCCTAGCAGTTTAAATAGCTCCACTCTCTCCCTGTCTGTCCCTCTGCCACACAAAGGCACCTAGACACAAGCTGGTTGGAGACTCAAAGCTTGGATAAGAAAGCCTGACCAAGTTACCAGGAAACACAGTTTATGGGGCAGGGCCTCTGAAGGTCCCAGAACTCAATCTGCCCTAGACATAAGCTAGAAATAGCGCTGCAAGTCGAACCCCAGGGGGGCAGCCTAGGTGCCCTCAGCCCTCCTTCTCTCCCAGCTCCTTGACTGTCCAGAGCACTCCAGAGCTCTTGTGATGGCACAGTGCCCTCTTTGCATAGGACTTTATCCAAACATTAAACCCTCCCATTCAGCTCAGGCAGGACTCACACACTTCTCCACTCCACAGCTGTCCCTGGAGCCCAAGCTCCCAGCAAGAGGGAGGCCCCAAGGCAATGCAGATTCAGCCTCCACGACTCCCTCCTTCCCACCTTGCTGCAATGAAGAGCCTCTTCACAAAAGCTCCTTGGTGGCTTTTATTTCCCTTAGTAAGGGATCAGAGAATTAGCTGTACAGCCCCACACTGCCTGCTCCACCCGGGAAAGACATTCTCAGGGCCAGCTACCCACTTGCCAGAAGCCTGCAGACACCTAATGAAAATCAGACGAGCACTTTGCATTTGATAGGCACTGACCCTGCCCAACACTCTGTTACTTCTGAAGCCACCAAGAGTTGAAGTCAAAAAGTCGGGTGAATAACCAAGCCTGCTGTCCACTATCAAGCTCTACAGTGTCCACAGGGCCAGCCCACATGGTCCTCGGTTCTCTGATGCACCGTGAAGGGACATGATATGCAAATAAAATCCAAGCAGGAACCAAGTTACAGTACCCTTCATTCACCCCAGAGGCACATCCTCAGCATGGAAACATCAGGGTCCACTCATTTTGATTATGGATGGGAAGCAGGGAGGAATCCGTGGAGGCCTCCGTGAGCATGGTGAAAGTGGTGGTGCTGGAGATGGTGCTGGGGGTGGCGCTGGAGGGCCTGGTGGTGCTGCTGAAGGTGAAGCTGGGAGGCTTGGTGGTGCTGCTGGAGGAAGCGCTGGTGGCGGCGCTGGTGCTTCTGAAGATGAAGCTGGTGCTGCTGGAGGTGGAGGTGGTGGTGATGGAGACCTGCACTGTGCACATGAGATGCATGGCCAGGATGTCGGTGATGGAAGACCCAGGGCCGGGGTTGGTGGACTTGGTTTTCCCCTGCAGCCAGATGGTTCCTCTCTACATCATCATCCTGTGGTCTGTGGAAAAGGCAGGTGGCCAGTAGCAGCAGCAACAGCAGGACAGCCACCACAGTGCCTGTGATCCAACCCACCAGGGTCATGCTCCCCAGGAAGCCTAGCATCTGGGAGTTGGAGGATCCTTCACCACTGTTCTGTGGCTCCACACTGCTTCCTCCCCTTCTGCAGCCTCTGCTCAGCCCTCCCAGTCACTGAACTTTGTTGTCTTGGCTCTTGTGGGCTGGAGAGTGGCCAGGAAATGTAGGCGAGGCCTCTTTGGATTGAAGCTGCCAGCCAAGGGTGAGGCCAGGGGGCTGTTGACTTTGGGGAGGCCAGGCAGGGAAGAAGGGTGGAGACAGAAGCTGTTAGGCTGGGCTCCCTTGAGTGGGGAGCCCTGAGTGTAGGAGTAAGAGGTCATGGTCTCCTCCACTCCTGCCACCTGGCTGAGTGATGGCAAAGGAGAGAACCTCTCCCCCCGCCCAGCTCCATTTCCTCTTGTAGAGACATAGCACAGAAATTAGGATCATGAGCTTCAGAACCACACAACTCGATAGCTCCATGACTGTGCACAAATTACTTAACCTCGCTACATCTCAGTTTCTTATCTGTAAAATAGATAATAGTGGCACCTACCTCAGAGGGTCTTCTGAGGATCAAAGGAGTTAAGACATATAAAGAACTTAAACAGTTCCTGACACATCTACCATTCATAACACTGCAATGGAGTTCAGATGAAATTCTTGGAAGGCTGTCATCTCAGAGTCTGTGACTCCCTGTCCTACAGCTCACAATGTCCTCCAGAGATAAGAGTCAGATTCTGTCAATGAGTTATTCCAAGCTCGGTGAGCTTCAGGAGCTCTGTGAGGCCAGCGGCCACATCTTTATCATCCCAGGAGGCCCTTACTTTTCCTGCTGGTTCTGGAAGGCAGAAGGATCAGTGTCAGCCCCTGGTTGCTTGGAGGCAGGAATGAGGCCACCGAGCTCAGTCAGGCCAAGTCCCAGTCCAGCCTCCTGGTTCCAGTCTCAACGGGCCATAAATGGCCCATTCCTTGCTCCATCCCAGCCTCTCTGCCACGTCACATGAATGCCATTCCTGCCTGGTAGAGGATTTAGACAACGGGATGTGAGCAGTCCCCAACTGTCTCTCCTAGTACCAAATCCCCTCTCCTCATCACAGACAAGCACTAGTCCTGTCCTGCTCACAGATTAGGGACAGGTGCTCACTGTCTCCCTGGGCAGCCTTGTCTGCCGTAGGCTTATAGGGCTTCTTGGGAAGCTCTTGCATACATGCAGTGGAGCCTCCCCAAAGCCCCAGGTCTACATCTAGAACCTCAGAGGCCCTCAGGGATCCCCAATCCCTTCCCCAGGGTCCTCCCGATGAGTGCTCATCTCCCTGCCACCTGGAAGAATGTTTACAGAAGCCACAATGCTGGCATTCCACCCTGTGATATGGGGCAAAGCCCTTCCCCTGACCCAGCCTGTTTCCTCCTCTGTAAAGGTCCCAAGGCAAGAAGTGATCTCCAGGGACCCTTCTTCCTCTGACCTCATTTGAGGAGGCCTCATACCCTGAGTGCAAACACTCACTGGATAAAAAGGCTAAACATTTCCTTCAGCCAAATTGGGCTCAGGGAACATTAGGTCTAATGAATCCTGGGGCTTCTCTGGCCCTCAGGAGAAGCCACTTGAACTTTTAATGATGCTGGAGTAACAACTCCTTCTGGAGACTTCTGGTGCCCTGGGAGCAAGCTGCCTTCCTTGGGGACATCAAATGTCCCTCTTTAGAACTTCTCCAGAGAGACTCCCGTTCCACACCAGCCAGTGAGTGGAGCAGAGCCCTGCAAGCTGCATGCTTGAAGCACTTTGGCCAGCTCCCAGAACACCTGGAAATCACTCGATGGAGCCTGCACTATGGCCAGAGAAGGGAAAAGACTTGCCTAAGTCCTCAGCTTTATGAGCTGGTCTATTCAGGAGGAAATCAGAGCACTACCAAAGATATGAGGGGCTGTCCACTGTGGGGGGTGCCATCCGCCAGCAGTGTTCTGAACAGAAGGGGAAGATGGTGTGCCGAGGTGGGTGAATAGGAAGGAGCAGGGATTAACAGAGTGCACACACACACACACACACACACACACACACACACGCAACAGTGCAGGTTCACCACCTATCTGGACAGAAGAGAGGACCCCAAGATGGACATTTTATTAGACACTTTGAGCACCTGGGGGTGGAAGGCTACAGTCCCCAGGACTTCTGAAGTGATTGAGACTTTCTTGAAGTCCTGACTGGAGAGAAGGGCTTGCAGAACTGATGACTATAGAGGAACTATGGCTACGTCTGGGGTGTCCCAGCCTCAGAAAATTATCCCATGGCCTTATTGTCATATTTCTCTTCCAGGGTTGGGTGTATCTTCTTCACACTTCATAAGCAGCCTTCTTCACTTAGGGACAGGGGTTCCAAACCTCATGGCTGATGGGGAACTTTTGAAGCTCACTAATTCACTTCAAACCTATATTTTCCAGGGTGCCCTGACTCATGCATGTACATGCATGTACTTACATATGTTTGTAAGCCCACATCACTGTGTGGGCACTTGTGCACCAATAATTGTGTGTACCCACACTTATGTACATATGCACATATGCATACATGTTTTGGACAAGCTCACAAACCTGTGTTTGTATTAACTGCAGGGTTCTTGGTTGGCCAGCAGTAGCAACCACATTGTTTTCACTAATTGGTGGCACCACCTAGTGGTGACCCTGTAAAGAAATCACTTTTGTATTCTGATGTAACAAAAGTTCTGGCATCTTGATCATAATTTGAATAATGTATTTAACTTCTCTTCATTCCAAATTATTATAAAAATGTCCAAAGAATTAAAAAAGAGGAAATTCTATTCCACCCAGTGGCGCAGGCCATGGTCACAATCTCGCTGCTTGACACAGCTCCAGTGAAACCGAGACTATGGCTGAAACCACGACTCCGTCTCTTGCTTTCACTTTCCGCGGTAGTGATTACCTCGGTGCTGTGCTCCCCCGGAAATCACTGAAAGGATAAAAGTCAGTACTTCGGAAATGGTTACTAGGCTGGGATTACAGGAAGAAATTGTAACTCCATTTACAGAAAAGCCCCTCACTCATACCTCCATGAGTAGTGGGGACGTGACATCCATAGGCCCTGACTGTACAAAGGGAAATTGGGACATCAACAAATTTTTTATGACGCAGATATGGCTCTTGGAAATGCTGGGTACTTCCAAGACTTCAGACAAATGATGAGGTCCTGACTACTTTAAGCCCACAAATATTTGCAGCAAAACAGGGATCTCGGTCCATAGAAAATAAAGGAAAGTATGGGCCTGTCCCAACGGCTGAGCCCCCTCCCAATGTAGCTTATAGGTGGGACATTATGATACCCACCAAAAGGAACAAATTCCATACAACATTTACCCAGATTAGATTTACCCCTGCTATATGACAAATATTGCTTACAAGAGGAGTTAAAGAAAGATGAACAAAAGAAAGAAAAAAATAAGGCGCCCCACTGTCTGGCACCTGGTCACCCTTGGCCAACACCCGCAGGGCACACAACAATGAGATCTGACAAAACTTGGCCTAATGAGGTAGCCTGACCTTTCTAAAATGCTTCTTATTCCTCAAATGTAAATCTGATAAGTTACCGAGAATTCACGTAGCACCCGGAGGAGTATTTAGAACTGGGTGGTCTAAAATAGTTTTTTAGATGATATCAGCTTTTCTTTAACTCTGTATGAAAACACACTGTGTATGGACCCACGTGCTTACCAAAGCCTTGTGTAATCCAAACGTATATAAGGAAAGTGATTTCGGTATAACTCAGACAGACAAGCTGAGCTGCCGACCCCCCACTCAGTGTCTGTCTCAGTCTCTCGTCACTGACTCCACACCTCCTCTCAGGACCTGAACCCGCTGGAGCTGGACTCCGGCAACACAGGAAACCAGTAGAGTCACATTAACTGGAGGCCCTGGGAACCCGGTTAATGGACATGCTGGCTGAGGAAGGGCATTGTGGGCCTCCATAAAGCCCTACAGTAGACAGACAGGACTTGGAACAAGGGAGGGGTGGGCTCAAGGAGGAAACATGCATGGAGTGACTGTTGTGTTTTGGATTTGGGCTATGCCCCAAAACACACATGTCTTCAGAGGCTGGGCTTTTTTAGGGTGGATCATGGGGTTAACTATAGCTAAATGTGATGCTAGGAGACAGCCGGGTCAAAAGAGGCGGGTCACTGGAGAAGTGACCTAAAAGGATGTATCTCCCTTCCTGGCTCTTCCCCTTCTCTCTCTGCTTCTTGACCACCATGACATGAGCAGATTAACTCTGTGTCAGGCCCTTCCACCACGTCACTTCTGCGTTTGAGCCCACCGACCACAGACTGAAACTTCTGAAGCCATGAGCCAAAAGAAACCTCTCCTCCTTTAAATTGTGGGTGTCAGATATGGTGTCCCGGGGACAAGAAATTCCCTAAGACAGTGACCTTGAGAATCTCTAGTGTCTGCTCACAGAGAAGCTGGCCACGACTCAGCCCACCTTTTGGTTTGCAGGCACATTGGCTGGCAGGTTCCTAACCTAGGGACTCATGCCAGTTAGAGAAGAGAAACTCTCCCCCTCCTGATCTTGGGCTGCCCCAGCATATCCTAAAAGAAGTTGCCCAACATAGCAGTAAACTTCTTTTCTCAGAAGCTCTCCCTGCCCCAAGGATGGCTAGTTAGAGATTCCAATTAAGAAAACAAAATCTCTTCTTCTATTACCTGGAAAGAAGACAGATACTTGGCAATGATCTATCTAATCTTTCTTAGAACCTATTTCAAATCCCAGTGCCAAGCAAACATAGGTTTAGTTTCTCCAAAAAGTAAGCAAATAAAGAAATATTACTAGACATAAAAATAGATGTAAATGTATTGCATCCTTGCCAGGTGTGGTGGCACACACCAGTAATCCCAGCACTCAGGAGAGAGCAAGTTCGAGGCCAGCCTGGCCTATGTAATAAGTTCAAGGCCAGCCTGCATTACAAAGCAAGACCCTGTCCCAATAAAACTAAAAGAAAAAAAAGTTATTGTGTCCTTGTTATGGTTTGTATCTAGATGTCACCCCCAAAGCATCATGAACTCATAGGTAGGGCTTTTAGGAGGTGACTGGGTCATGGGGTGTGATACTCAGAGTGGATTAGTCCACTAGTGAGTTCTTAGCTAAATGTGATGTTAGGAGGTGAAGCCTGGTTGGAGCAGGTGGGTCACTGGGGGCGTGGCCTGGCAGGGTACATCTCCCTCCCTCCTCCCTTGATCTCTCTCTCTCTCTCTCTCTGCTTCCTGGGTGCCAGGAATTTTGCTCAGTGGCACCGCGCCTACATGGCAAGTGCAAGGTCCTGAGTTCAATCCCCAATTCTGGGGCAGGGCAAAGTGCCTTTCAAAGAGCACAGGTAAATATTTCTCTCCTTCCTGTCTACCATGCCATGAGCAATTTTACTCTGCCATTCCACCCTGCCTTTGAGCCATCTGACCATAGACTGAAATCTCTACAAACTGTGAGCCAAAATAAACCGTTCCTCCTTTAATTTGTGGGTGTTGGGTACTGTGTCTCAGTGATGAGAAAGTAACTAAGAAAATCCTCACCACTAGAGTTACTAGAATCTAAGAAACTGAGAAACAGTAAAATTCCCTCATCTATATTCTAGATAATATCCCAAAGGTCAATCTATATATATAAATTTAGAGAATTATGCAAAAACAGGACATTTCTTTTTGGATTAAAAACCAAATTAGGAAAGACTGGGGAACCATCTTCATAACACAGGAAAAAAAATGAAAGAGAAAAAGAAGAGAGGTCCAGAAATCAAATATACTTTTTTATGGTACGAGGGGGGTTGAAATGCAGGGCCTTCACATCCCCAGGCCTTTTCTTAATTTTTATTTTGAAACAGGACCTCACTGAAGCATTAAGTTGCCCAAGCTGGGCTCAAACTTACAAGCCTCTCAGAGTGCTGGAACTACAGGCATGCACCACCATGCCCAGCTACACTTATACTTTTATGATAAACATTCTAGAAGTAGAGAAGAGAGTCCATGGAGAAAAAAATCAATAAATAAGGACAAGAAAATATCCTCATTTGAACTAAGTCTTCATATCAAAAATTGCACTGAATACAGGGCAAACTATTTAAAGAGGCTAGATTATCTCTGTGTAACCTGGTGAAATTTTAACACTATAAGAATAAAGAAAAGCAACATGGTATAGCCATCATAGAAAACTGCTTGACAGTGTCTTACAAAACTAAACACACCTTACCATATAGCACAGCAATTACACTCCTTAGAATTCACCCAAATGAGTTGAAAGCTTATGTCCACACAAAAACCTGTGCCTAGATGCTGATAGCAGCTTTATTCATAACTGCCAATACCTAGAAGTAAGCAAGATATTCCTCACTAGGTGAGTGGGCAAATAAACTGTGGTACATCTAGACAATGGAATGCTATTCAGTGCTAAAAGTAAATGAGCTATCAACTCATAAGAAACATGGCAGAAACTTGAA